TTTAATCTTTTTAGTCTTGGCTGAAGAACATGCTAGAAAGTTAATTTTACCAAACACTTTTAAGTATAATAAACTAGTTAACAGCTCTTCCGTTTTCAACATCTAGCTTTTAGCTACCTTTTGAGCTAATTTGTCAAACATAGTCATCCATCGTCTTGTTATGTTGGCAAAGGAGTTGTGCTAGTGTGGAATTGAACTTGAAAGTGACTCATATGTAATAATCTATATGATCAAGAATCCTTCGAGTCCGCCCACACAGGCTTAACTCAATAGTTCAGTGGGCAATATTTGAAAGAAGAGACCAAGGTTCGAACCTGCGCACCGGCATTTGGCCATGTTTCCGTGATCATTGAGTCACGGTAATTTACATCCTTCCAAGGAATAATAAAAAAATGTGACTATATATATATATATATATATATATATATATATATAATAAAGTTATGTAGTCTTCAATTCGTTGTGAGTTATACCTTTTGGTGTAGTAATTAACACTTTATCCTCATAGAAATTAGTTAGACAATTGATGATATTTTGATAAAAGTTCTGCAACTGTTATTCGAAGATATATATATATATATATATATATATATATATATATATATATATATTTTGTATGAAGTCCATCTTGAAGCTCCCCAAAGATTTTCTTTACCCTAGCTTCTTTGCCTGTAAAAGCCAAATTGGCTTTGCTGTATGATTTTCGGGGCTTTGTTTTTCATCGGGCTATTTGCCATCAACAAAGCCTCCCTTGATTAAAAAAAAAAAAAAGAAAAAAAAGTCCATCTTGTAGTAAAATTAGCTCAACCAGTTGATGACACTCTAGTATTATATTGCCATAGTGGAATCAAATTAGCAAGATTTTTACTAGTGCTCTACCACTTGTAGTTTGATTTGGTGTTTGTATTCCAGAATTATTTAAATAACATTCCAACAAAAGCTAACAAAACTATGCTACGTGGCATTGTGGCCTATAAAAACTGACTACTGATAACAGTTTAAGAATCTAAATGCATTTGTCTCCACAATGTTACTTTTATAAATGTACCTGTAGCTGACTTTGAAAGGAACCCCCAAAAAATACATGCACTTTGCATATTTGTTTTCCAAGCATGTATAAACTCCAGCCATTTTTGTATGCTTGAACTCCACTCTTCTTTATCATGGACAGAGTTCAGAAATTGACACTTCATTTCCGGTCATAGTTTGGTCCAAATCTATCTCTCTTGGTATCTTCTTACTTCCACAATAAAATGCAGGTTCACGAGGTACTGACCAATTATTAGCAGAATAACTAGTGAGCATCGACATCACTTCCACCATTGTAAGTCTTTCATCTGCATTTTCTTGAACACATAACAAACCAATGTGTATACATCGGATGACTTCATCTATTGTATAAGACTCTCCGAGTGTTGAATCTAGTAGTTTTAATGGACAACCATCCCTCCATTGTTCCCAAGCCTACAACATTATCACTTTCATGTTCATAAGTTGGCCATGATGACATAATATTATGAAGGAACCCAAACAAATATAATATGATAATTGATACAATGTAAGAAATTTAACATAGATAAAATAGAGATGTATTTAATATGAAGGTTTCGACTCACATAGCTGAGAAGGTCTTGTGCTTTATTTGATTCGCAGAAGGTATGATTTTTCTTTCCAGTAATACTTTCTAAAAGTATGACACCAAAACTGAAAATATCATACTTTGTAGAGAATTTTCCGCGCATTGCATACTCTGGTGACATATAACCACTGCAAAGCAATATAAGCATCAGTGCAATAGCTAAAAATAGTGTTTCAAATAATTAATGACATAAATTGAGCAAACCTAGCTAAATGTATAGGTTGATGTATATCAACTAGGAATGCAAATAATAAATGTGGCTAAGACGCATAACTTACTATGTTCCAACAATTCTATTTGTCTTTTCATGAGTTTGAAACTCCAAAAATTCTTGCCATACCAAAATCAGCTATTTTTGGATCCATATTTACATCCAATAGTATATTGCTTGTTTTGAGATCTCGATGTATGATTCTAAGACGAGAATCTTCATGAAGGTAGAGTAGACCTCGTGCTATTCCTCTTATAATTTTATAACGTCTTGACCACTCCAATAGATATTGTTCATCATGACCTGAAAATATTGAAATCCCAAATTTCACAGAGTGTTGATGAGGAATGACTATTCAAGCTTTGTATGTACAAAGGAAGTATATATATATATATATATATATATATATATATATATATATATATATATATATATATATATATATATATATAGAGTTGCACTCGGGTGCGAACGGCTCGCCCAGGCGCGAAATAGGAATGAATTCTGTTCGTTCACGTGTCCAGATCTAATGGATGAGAAACACTGATTTTAAAAAAAAATGCGGTGGCATTTTCGTAAATAATTGAACATCGAAGTGCAAGTAAAATGTATTACAAGTGCATGTAAAATGTATTATAGGTGCAAGTAAAAATTTACACTGAGCATCAATACTTAGTTGCACTTATAGTTCTAGGTAGTTGCACCTATAGTTCTAAGTAGTTGCACAAATAGGTATAAGTAGTTGCATCTAGGTGTATGAATGTTTGCGAGTGGTTTTCAGGAGTATTACTACCTGCTGAACTCAGATCAATGAATGTTAACAAGACAAAATTACATGCACTTATAGGTGAAAGTAGGTGCACATATAGTTATAAGTAGTTGCACCTATAGTTATAAATAGTTGCACATATAGTTATAAGCACACCCAGGTGCATGAATGGTTGCGGAAAGTGAATGCCAACAAGGCAAAATTACATGCACTTATAGGTGAAAATAGGTGCACTTATAAGAGATTTTACTTGCACTTCGATGTTCAATTATTTACGAAAATGCCACCGCGTTTTTTTTAAGTTATTAGATCTGGACACGTGTCACACGCTGATTCGTTCGCATTTCCTTCCTGGGCACTTATTCGCACCTGAGTGCGTCCCTATATATATATGAAATTTTTTATGTGAGTAACTAACCAAATAAAAAGTAGTCAAGGCTTTTGTTTGGCACATACTGATAAATAAGTATCTTTTCTTCTCCTTCAGAGATCCCAGTAGCCTTACTAAATTTCTGTGTTGGAGCTTGGCGACTACTTCAACCTCATTCTTAAACTCTTGGGCTCCTTGTTCTGACTCTCTAGAAAGCCTTTTTACCGCTACTTCTTGACTGTTGGGAAGTATTCCCTAGCATCAATTATAAATAAATCATTAAAATATATGTATTAAAATGAGCATATTGATGTTATAGAGTCAAAGACTTTACCTTATATACAGGACCATATCCACCTTCACCAATTTTATTTTTATGGGAGAAATCATTTCTAATAGCTTTAACAGTAGCAAAATTATATTGCAAGGACTCCTCAGTTGAAATTCCAGTCACATCTGCCAGAGTACAAAATTAATATACACTGCAAAAATTGTAAGACTCAAGAGTAGAGAAACTTAAACCCAATCAGTCTGTTAATTACCTGTTGTCTGCAGTTTAGTATTTCGTTTCTTAAAATTTTTAATTCTTGGTAAATAAAAGATTGCAATGAAGAGTATAATCCCAATGAACAGAATTACAATGGCAATCACCAGTTTTGCAGAAGAAATTCCATTGTTTCCTGCATCAACCGAAATACACCACTACACTTTATTAGGATCAAAAAGCTTATCATTATAGGAAAAACTTAGCCAAGTTGATCAGGTTATTGACTTTTTAAGCATAAGATTACAAGTTCAATTCCCAACAACAACAGCTTATTAGCCTTCTTAGTTTGAGCTTGTTGGGCGGTGGCTTAGAGCTGAGAGTCGAATTCAACATCCTATTATCGAAACGTAGGGATGACGGTTATGTACATATAAGGAAATAAAGTGAATAGAGCTAAGGCACTGGGACATTGTAAGTCAAGCACTAACCACATAATTATTTGACTATCTAGCTGTCATATCCTACTTAAAACTAATTAGTGACAAGCACTAACCACATAGTTATCCTACTTAAAACTAATTAGTGACAAGCACTAACCACATAGTTCTTTTGCTATCTAGTTGTATTATTCTACTTAAAACCAATTAGTTCTAAGTAGGTGGACATTAACCGTCACGTCTTGAATCGAGCACGCCTAAAACCAATTAGTGATAAGTAGGTGGACATTAATCTTGAATCGAGCATGGGCTAAACTCAACCTACCCTAACAGTCGCTACTTTATTTCTTTATACTTGTGTGATGCTTTATCCTGATAAAGTGATCAACTATAGATAACCTGATCCTTTGCCAGCTAGGATGACAATGTGAGGTTTACCCAGTACTACTAGTGGCTACTTTATTTCTTTATATTTGCATAGCAATCAGCGTAGCATTCAGTACAAAAAGTTTTACCAGAAGTGGGAGACGCGTTGGGTGGAGGAGGAGGCGGCGGTGCGGGTGCTGCCACGGCGGCGAGATCATAGAAAGGGTAGCGCTCATACCTAATGTTACAGCTTGGGAACGCAGCTCTACCACCCACGGCTCCATAGCAGCAATGGCGCAGCATCGGAATCAAATTTCTGAAGCATATCCGACAGTCAACGTTAGAAAGGTCCGGCGTACACTGCCCAAGAGCGTACACCCTCTCCGACGCACTAAAATTAGCCTGTAACACCGCAAATTTCTTCTCCAAACCACTAGACGCTCGAGCGATAATCTGATCCAACGTTTTCCCCACCGTCTCCATGTACGCAATTGGCCGAGTATCATTCTTCTGGTTCTTCGCCGTTAACCAGTTCGACTGGTCCACGATCCCCAGCATGGAGTTCTTCCTGTAATAGCGCAGCATGCAATAATCGTACCAAATCATAGCCGTCGTTCCATTGTTGCAAAGCTCCGATATCGTTTTGCCCGCACCTCCGACGCAGTTGCGGCAGTCGTCCTTGGAGACGTCGCCTCGGCAGAGGAACAGGCCGTACACGGCGTCGTCGGAACCGCGGCTGCCGACGGTGGTCTGGTAGAAACCGTTGTTGTCTCGGGTGGTGTGGGAGGAAAGAGTGGAGAGAAGAGAATGAAGGTTGGCTTTATAGGTGCTGTTAGGAGTGTAAGTATTATACTCTGAATTTTCACAGTGATATCGCATGGCAATATCAGAGCTACCTTTGGTGATGAAGCTCATCAACAAGCAAAATCAAATCATGATGATCATCATCATATTGTGGTGTATATCACAGCAACATATAATGATCACTGTACTATTATAATCAACTATATATCTAGGGAGGAAGATATATATACATATTACCGGTCAGGATTGGGTCACAAGATAATGTTTATGCAGTACACACTTTCAAATAGTGACTTTAGGTTTTTTGAGTTGCTGAAAAGAAAAGAAGAAAATGCATGCTTAATGAAGAAGATTGGAAGAAGGGAGTCATTTACTATTGTAGGAAGAAGAATTTAAGTGTATGGACAAAAGTGTGACAGTTTGGGAAGTGTACTATTATATTGTGGGAACTAGAAGAGAGTAGTTGAGGTTCGTTGGTCGAATTTTATAATTGTTACTAGTCTAATAATGACTTAAAATATACTCTCTTGATGGGTGATGTTGTTCTTTTTTCTATATATATATATATATATATATATATATATATATATATATATATGAGATAGCGATATGAAGTAGACTAGCAAATAAGGATATGGGTTGTTTGATAAAGATAAACCATTAAGTCTAGGATCACATCCTGACATCCTTTCATCAGAGTTGATATCTTCATGGTTGTTTGAAATTTTGAGTTATTAGAAAACTCTCTCAACCAATATATTCACAACGAGGTAAACATTTATACAAATTGAATTGTAAATCATCATAATTCTTATCTTTTTGGGCTTAATGTTTTTGAGCATCGGTTAATTATAGTACCTAGACTATGCAATTTTTATCAATTTTGGTCACTCTTATCAAATTGTCGGTCAAATTTCGCCGAAAAAACTTAATTCATAAATTAGTGTTTAATCTGAGGGGCAAATTTGTCTTTCGAATTGTGGTCCGAATTAAGAAAAGTCAGTTTTTAACCTGGTTTTTCCGGCGAAATGTGGCCGGTAATTTGGCCGAAGTGACCAAAATTGATAAAAATTGTATAGTCAATGTACTAAATTAACACTTTTGAAAGTCGTGGACTGCAATTAACAGAACCCCTATAATCACAGGACCAAAATTGAAATTTATTCTAGATTTATTTATCATTTTTCTTCCTTTAAATCCAGAAGAAAACAAACTAAACAACCTCACCTACGTTATTTTTTTTCCAAACCTCTAGCGTATTCAAACTTGTACCAAAAAACTTCATTAATATATATTATAATTTCTTTTTATGAGTTCTACTATATATACTACTAAATCTCTCTTTAAATTTTACTCCCAGATATAACAGACACTAATAAGCTAATTTTTTATTTGAGTTCCAATGCAAATATCTACATCAAGATTTTATGTGTAAGCCTAAAAATTAGGAGTAGAAAATGAAAGTACACATAATATTTTTATTTTTTTAAATTTATACAATAAAGACTTACATGAGTCTCTCTAGTTGACTGTATTTGCGTGTTTTATGGCTTAACAAAAGAAGACTCAAAGAGACTGAGGTTGTTAAGTTATTTGTTCGTTTGAGGAGTTATGTCAACAGCCGACAGCTGACAGGAGCGGAACCTCTAATATTGGTACGGTAAAAATCCAATAAAATTGGGAAGAAAATTGATGATACTTTGATTTACGAAAAAACGAAAATATCCAGTTAATTAACAGATTCAGGTTTTAATAATTTGATAGTCTAATCCATTTGCCCATCCCCTAGCAAATTATATCGTGCACCGCGCGGTGCATAATTGATTATGCACCGAATTTTAAAGCGACGTCGTTTTGTTCAATGAAAAGAAACGGCATCCATTTCGCGACGTTCCACACCCTTCCGCAAAAAGTAACTCTGTTATTCAGTTTCATTTTGTATACACCGCAGTTCCAATTCAACATAACTACAGTTTCATTTTGATATAATTACAGTTTCATTCGGTATTTATAGACTCAAATATGTGAAAATGTTATTTAATTTTATTTTATATACACTATAGTTTCACTAAAACACAACTACATGATCATTTCGATATAATTACAGCTTCATTGCACAATATACACTCAAATATGTGAAATGTTATTCAGTTTCATTTTATATACACTGCAGTTTCATTTCACCACAACTGCAGTATCATTTTGATATAACTACAGTTTCATTTGATAATATAAAAATAATACGTGAGGCAGTGTCAGTTTAGATACACTGTAGTGTCCATTTAGATACACTGTAATTTCAATTGGTAATTAACACACCAAAATATGCGTGCTCCGTTAACAGTAACGGCGTGCCGTTTCTTTACTTAAAGAAACGTCGCCGTTTTAACCACAGTGCACATGCACCGCAATCCACGATATAACGACTGCCATCGGCTATAGGCATGCTAAAAATGACCTATTTATACACTTTTGCGAGTTAGTTAGTTTGGGCAAGTAACGAGAGTGAGGAGTCTGGCGAATAGGACTGTATGCATTCAAATGTTTCCACTGTTAGACTTGAAGGATCGATTTCAATATCATGTCATTAAAGTGTAGCATTGATTGCTGCACAAGTATAAAAAAAAAAAGTTACGTTTTCTATATTAATTATAATTTTTGACATAGTGAAAAATATTTGATCCTAACAATTAATATTGGGAAAAGGGTCAAATAGGTACTCGAACTTTAGTTAAAGTCAATTAGGCCCCTAAACTTTTTAAAGGTGCAATTACACCCATCAAAAATTCAGTTCCACAAGTATAACTTTTGATATAGTAGTAAACATTTAATTTTGAGAACCCTATTTAGTGTCATACCAAAATTCTCCAGTCGTTATACCCTGCACCACGGCGCGCGCAGAAATGTGCGCCCACGCCTCCCAAAACAATGTCATTTTGGGAGGCGCGGAAGGGAGTCGACGTGATTATGTGTATTTGTTTATATCATTATGTGTATTTATTCATACAATTATGTGTATTTTTTTATATAATTATGTGTGTTTGTTTATACAATTATGTGTATTTAATTATATAATTATGTATATTTTTTTATACAGTTATCTAAAACGACATCGTTTTGATCAGGGCGCACAATGCAATGCGCGCCCTGGTGCACGATATAAATTCTCGTCACGCAACTTATCACGTTTTGCGGTGAACGTTTTTTTCTTTTTTTTTGGTTTCATTTTATTCCTGGGCTTGAATTTCTTAGATGGGTTAAACGAAACACATCTTAAATGGGCTTTGTGATTGGGCCATTGGGCTTAGGCATATCCCTCACAAAGCTAAGGAATAAAAACATGGACAAATTATTGTGTGGAACATGGTTCAAAACGACGTTGTTGAATTTTATGAGTTAGAATAATATACTTTTGGGATTAGAATAATGTACTTTATGTGTTAGAATAATATACATTATGTGTTAAAATAATGTATTTTATGCATTAGAATAATGTACATTATGTGTTAGAATAATGAAACTTCTGATGTAAGATAATGTATTTTATGAGTTAGAATAATGTACTTTATGAGTTAGAATAATGTACATTATGCTATAAAATAATGTACATTATGATTTATAAAAAATGTATATTGCACCAGGTCACGTGAAAAAAAAATTACACTAAACGATATCATTTTTAGACCGTAGTCCACACAGCTGTGTGGACCACGGTCCACGCAATAACAGTTGAAAAACATCATAGCAACATAAATTTGGACATTAAAACACTTTATAGTGGCAAAGAGCATCTTTTTACGTGCTAACACTAACATCGTTGTTATATTTTTAAAATTAGTGGTTTATTGATAGTATTATTTTTAATTTTAATTTTTACTAATTTTTAAAAGGGATATTAAATTGACCAAAACTAAATTAAAATAACTAAGTTGAATATGACATAATAGAAGGATTTTCTAAATAATTTGACCAACATAACAAAATATTAAATGAATAAATTTATATATCCTCACACATAATTGTCAACCATAAACTTGCAAAAACTATGTATAATAATCATCCAAATTAAAAAATGGGTTGAAGCATTAGAGACCATGCTTTAAGAGCTTAGTTTTTTCTTTTCTTTTCTTTTTTTCTTTTGTGGATATGTGATGTGTCGACATCCATCAAGTAATAAGTAGATATCAAAATTAATAAAAAATATTAAAAAGTCAAATTTATTTTTCAATAATGAAACTAATCTAATTTTTTTAATACAAAGGGAGCAATGTGAAAAAAATAAAATAAAATAAAATAAAATTGTACGAGTTTAGATTAAGAAACACTATTATTAGGCAGAGGCTCGAAAAGTCGAATCCAGTATCTTGTCATTGAAACGTGACACTAACTACTACACAAGTATAAGAAAATAATGCATTAATGATACGCTGAGTATATAACTTGAACTAAACATACTAATGGACTATATATAAATCAAAGGGTAGGGAAGTAACCAAGCACACAAACAAACTAATCCACGGTGGCCGGAGACTCAACAAGGTGATGGAATGTCAATTAAGTCCTCCCAAAGAATCTGTTGAAGCGGGAAAAGACTTTTAACACCTTTAAAGTCTCGAAAATGCATGGATGATGAAAGCCTTAATTAGCAAGAAATTCACCCAGTCAACCACTTTGTTATGCTCACAAATTGAAAATTGTGAATTGACTAGAAAATATATTATTATCACATTTAATTTTGCCCATTGGATAGATAATAAGAGAACATCTTACGTAAGTGGCAAGCAATTACCTACGTGTTGGGGTATATTGTTTGAAAGTTCATGGCCAACAAACAGCATATATATGACATCAAACCGTGTTTGAAATTCGAATCTTTTACCTTACCCAAAATAACTCAATCAAATGACTGTAAAACACAATTAACTAACAAATTTTAAATTAGTAATAAACGGTGATCTATCTTAATTAATTACAACAAATAGTCATATCATTGACCAAACCATTAAATAAAACAAATTAAAACAAGGGAATATACTATATATGCATAGAATTACATAAATAATGAAATAGACATGGATGGAAATTCCTCAATTTTGTGAAATAGCTTAACTGCAAAATTATATTTAAACTTGTGATCATGATAATCATGTTTTATCCACTCAAAACACTCCTTCCCATGCATTCTCCTCTTCTTGTTATCAATAAGAGAAGCCAAAGTTAAAAAATTAATTGTGTTTGTCAAAAGTGTAGGGAAGGACCCGGAGAAGCCAAAGTTAAAAATTTAATTGTGTTTGTCAAAAGTGTAGGGAAGTACCCAAGCACACAAACAAAACTAATTCACAGTGGCCGGAGACTCCACAAGGCAATAGAATGCCCATGAAGTCCTCCCAAAGAATCTGTTCAAATGAAAAAAAAAAAAAAAAAAAAAAAAAAAAAAAAAAACTCATAACACCTCTCAATGAGTTTTTTGCACTTTTTGTCCCACGATTATAGTAGCACTATCAGGATTGATCCGCGACTTTCAAATCTTGCAATTTTGGTGCACAATTATTGTTTTTGTTGCAAAAATGGTCCTTCCGACCAATTTTCCGTCAATTTTTCACCGGAGAAAAAATTCTCCATTTCAAGCAGGAATAAAATAGATATTTACATTGCCCTTGCGGTCGTAAAGTATGAATTTTTCGACTCCGATTCTGGAATGGTACATAACCCATTCTTTTAAGTTTTTGGCAACGTTATAGACCATTGTGGCGGCGCAGAGCTTGGACTTTCGGTTATCTGGTTTGGCTAGGTGGAGTGGCGGGTTGTAAAACGCCATGGTCAGGACGATGATCGGATTGGGTCCCACAAATTCCAAGGAGACTTTGATAAGCTGTTTTCCGGTGGGGAATTCCAGGTGATTACAGCGAAAGACCTCTTGTATTGAGCTAGTGACATCCGTTTTGACGGCGTTAATTGTTTCATCTCTAGGGAAGAAAACGCAACGGAATTCCATTGGATTCCAGTTGATACCTTGACGATTGTTGACGCCCTTCACGAACAAAATGACGTCGTCCACCGTCATGATAAAGTCGTGCACTAAAAAATTCCACTGGAGCAAAGGCGGTTGCGAATTTTTTGAGATAGAAGTGAAATTGATTGATCAAAATCGGTTGCTTCGTCAGCTTTCTCCGGTGAGAGCTTCTCGGATATTCGCACTTGAACAATGACCGATCAGGAAACGGCAACACTCCGACGGGGATCGCCGGCGAGGTTTCTCCCTGCTCGAAGAGGCAGACATAGGGGTCATCTTCATCCCAAGACAGCGGATCAGAATAAGAGGTCAATAGCGGTCTGAGATTGCAAGGGCAATGAAAATGTCTATTTTATCCCTACTTGAAATTAGAATTTTTTTTCTTTGGTGAAAAATTGGCCGGAAGGACCATTTTTGCAACAAAAAACAATAGTCGTGGACCGAAATTACAAGGTTTAAAAGTCGCGGATCAATCCTGATAGTGTCACTATAATCGTGGGACCAAAAGTGTAAAAAACTCACCTCTCAAGCCTAAAAAATGCATGGAGGATAAAAGCCTTAGCAAGAAAGTCACACAGTCAACCACTTTGTTATGCTCACGAACTGAAAAAATGTGAATTGACTAAGGGTGTGTTTGGTTCGCACATGAAAATCGGAATCGGAATGAGTCTCAAATACTTGGTAATGGTAATGGGTTTTTGTGAAAGTATTTTGCATGTTTGGTAGTATGGTGGAATGAGAATGATTATCAATAATGATGTTTGGTTATGTATGATATGATTCAATAATGGGAATACATATGATGAATGTCTAAAACTAATGCTTTTTCCTTGTGCATTTTAGTGTTTTTGCTTGTTACTCATTATATTATAGAGTCATTTTGGTCACTTATGAATTTATTGCGTGTGTTAGGTGATTTGACAAAGAAATGATGTTTTGAAGCATTCTATGAAGTATTTGATCCAAGTTTTTGGTGTCACCTTAGCACGAAGATACATTTGGTTAACCAAAGTGATGATGTTTAGAGTTTAACACGTTTTTGGGATGGATAATGGCGTGACCTGAGGCTGAGGAGAGCACCAAAGTGATCACCGACACAATCGAAGGCGTACCCAGCTAGCCGCGACGTGCCCGCACCCGTAGTTACCAGGCAAAATTCACTGCCTGGTGGCCACAGGTGTGGCCACATCCGTGGCCACATCCGTGGCCACTGGGCAGATGTTTCTGCCTGGTGGCCACGGGCGTGGCCAGCTCCCTGTTTTTTCTAGCAGTGCGATTTGGCTCTTTTTAAAGGGAACTTTTCCACTCTTTAAGACACTTTTTCATTTCTCTTTCACTCGATAGCTAGGGTTAACTTTAGAATATATAGCTTAGATAGGTGTAGATTGGTTGTTTCTTTCCATTTCCAAGCTCAAGAACATTGCAAATCTTGGATTTCAAGGCTTCAATAGAGAAGTGTTCTTTTTATCTCTTCTCTTTACTTTTCATCTATGCTTTCAATTACTCTTTCAACATTATGTATCTTTTGTTATATTATGAGTAGCTAAGTGTTTTGGGACTAGGATTTGGTTTGATTTCTTGCTATTGATGCCTATTTGAGTTGTATTGCATAAAGGGGATTATTTAGGTGATCTAGGGTTGTTGTGTGAAATGGGTTTGTTGAGAAATTTGTGTATGATTGTTGGATCCCAATTATATGCTTCATTTGGAGTGTGTTTGTTGCTACGAGAGTAGAGCTTGTACTCTAGCCACACATTCACACACTTAATGCCCAATACGAGAGTATTTCAGGTATTATGGAGAATTTAGGCCTTGTGTTCTTGCTTGGGCAACCTTGGGTTGAATTGCCACGAGAGTGGAGTTTAAGGTTAGGTTGCAAGTCCAAATAGCAACGAGAGTGGTATTTGGACACTTTTGTGCATCTCACTTACCCTATGCCTTGTTTAATTCCCTAATCTTGAGTATAATATTTGGCATCTTAGCTTGAATCAACCAAGTCCCCGTCCTTTGTTTTACTTGTCTTATTTGTTATTAGCTTAATCATATCAAACCAACTCCTTATCGATAGGTCTAGCTTCTAAAAGGGTAGTTTTAGCTTGTGCTTAACTCCACTTTACATCAATTCCTAACATTACAAGAGCCATCTCCAGTGGAACGATATCTAAACTCTATACTGTAATTTGATATTTGATGGATGCGTGAAAAACGTCCTCATCAAATTTGGCGCCGTTGCCGGGGATGGCTTGGTTTTGATTGTTTTGTGGTAGTTAACATTAGTGAATGACTATTCTAGGAGACTAGACCATTTTATTTTCTTTGTTTTTATTTTACTCTTCTTACCTTTTGCTATAGTTTTCTTTGCTTGAAGGGACATCTTTGAACTTATATGCACACAAGATCCAAAGGAGTTGGAGGTTTGCAACCACTTGACTTGGAAATTGAGAGAGGTGTCAAGCAAAGGCGAAGAGAGCACCGTTCCATTATTCAACAACAAAGAGTAGCCATGGAGAGCACAAGCCAAGGAGTTACCCGTGATACTCCGGAACAAGAAGGGGAACACCATGTTCCAAATCCTCAAAATGATCCTAGGAGGGTTCCGGTTCAAAATGACTATCAACAAGTCCCTATTGAAGAACAGGCTCATATCCCTCCTCAAGTGCCTAGTCCTCGACATCAAGGGATGCCTCAACAAGGTTTTCAACCTCATGAAATTCCACCTCTTGGAGATGCACCACAAGGGAATCATCCTCATGCTCCACCGCCATACCATTATCCATATCCACCTCCCCCTCCTTATCACTATGGATACTATTATCCACCGGGACCACCACTACAACCTCAAGTGCCCCGAGCTCCAATGCCACAACCTAGAGGTCCCCAACAAAGGAGGAGATTGCTTGATTATGTTGCGGGGGATATTGATGAGGATGATAGTATCTACTATCTGGGAGTGGAAGCGAACAACTTTGAAATAAAGCCGGCAATGATTTCCTTGATTTCTAATAATCAATTTGGAGGCTCAAAGAGTGAAGATCCTACAAGTCACATGAGGCAATTTCTAAGGGTTTGCAAGACCTTGAAGATTAATGGAGTTTCAGTTGATGCCATCCGATTGAGGTTGTTCCCATTCTCACTTAGAGATTATGCACAAGTGTGGCTTGATTCTCATCCTGCCGATAATTTCCAAACTTGGGATCAACTTCATCATGAGTTTATGAGAGAGTTTTATCCACCATCAAAAGCTTCAAGGTTGAAGAAACAAATCCAATAGTTTAGACAAATGCCTTCTGAATCTTTGTATGAAGCATGGAAGAGATACAAAGATCTACAAAGACAATGCCCTCATCATAATATGTCTACTGGGGATTTGATTGTTTCTTTCTATGAGGGTCTTTCTGATAACTCCAAGGTCATTGTGGATTCTTCTTCAAATGGTGCTTTCATGGAGCTAGAGCCCGATGATGCCAAAAATTTTCTTGACAAGATTTGCCCTAATAGTGCTTATTGGTATAGTGAGAGGTCTAATCAAAAGCTTCGAGCCGGGATTTATGAGATTGATCAAAGTTCTGCTTTGGCTGCCAAGTTAGATTCTGTGGTGCACATGGTTCAGAAGATTGCTCAGAATCAAACTCAACCACCGGTAGTCACCACCCCTCCGGTTCATACTCATGTGCCAGTTTCTACCTCCACACCCTCACCGGTATCACCTTATCCCACTTATGTTTCTACTATATGTTGTGAGATATGTGGGGGTGGTCATGCTTCAGTTGATTGCTATATTATTGAGACCGGTTCACAAAGCTCACAGGGTTCACATGGTACTACGATGGAGCATGTTGATCATGTTGGCTATGGGAGATCTTCAGGGCCCTATCAAAGGAATTTCCAACATCAAGGAAATACTCATCCTGGTTTTTCTTGGAGCAACCCATCAGGGGCTACTAATCCTATGGGTGTTGCTAGAGGGTCACCTCCCGGGTTTCAAGGTCAACAAGGTTACAAAGGGAATTATCAAGGGACTCAGCAACAGTGGAAACCGAATCAAGGATATCATGGTCAAGCAAGTTATCAAGGCCATCAAGGAGGGCCTAGTCAATTTGGGTATCATGGAAATCAATCTCATCCACCAAGACCAACAATTGAGGCACCTAAGGGGCGAAGTTTGGAGGATTTGTTTCAAGCTATTCAAAATTTGAATGCCAAAGTTGATCAAGTGGCAGCTCATAACAAAATGCTTGAAAACCAAATTGCAAACCAAGCTTCACCATCAAGCAACAAGGCTATTGGAAAGTTACCGGCATATTCTGAAAATCCCAAGGATCAAGTGAATTCCATTACAACTAGGAGTGGAGAACAACTTCAAGATCCACCCTTAGTACTTGAGAAGAAACTAGAAGAAGTGGTGGAGGAAAGAGAGCCCGGGGAGAAAGTGCTAGAGGATGCTCAAGATTTAGAAGGTGAAACACTTCAAAGGGGAAATGGAAACAAGAATAAGGAGGTTGAGAAGTACACTCCCCCTCTACCATTCCTCAACGCTTGAGAAGAGTCAATCTTGATGAAAGGAAAATCAAATTCTTTAATTTGATTAAGCAACTTGACATCTCCATCCCCCTTCTTGATGCCGTGACTCAAATTCCTTCATATGCTAAATTCTTGAAGGAGATTCTATCCAATAGAAGGAAGTTTGAAGGGCAAGCCACCATAGCCATGAGTGAGGAATCAAGTGCCATAATTCAAAGCAAGCTACCTCCAAAGTTAAAAGATCCGGGAAGTTTCTCAATCCCTTGTGTGATTGGAGGTGCGGTGGTGAGTAGGGCATTGTGTGACTTGGGGGCTAGTGTTAGCCTCATTCCTTATTCACTATGCAAGAGGTTAAAGTTGGGCGATCCCAAGACCACTTCCATGACTATACAATTGGCGGATCGTTCAGTCAAGCACCCCATTGGAATCCTAGAAGATATACCGGTAAAAATTGACAAGTATTTCATTCCGGGAGACTTTGTGGTCTTAGAGATGGAGGAGGATGATAGGATTCCAATCATTCTAGGGAGACCTTTCTTAGCTACGGCGGGTGCAGTGATTGATGTGAAGAGGGGCACTTTGGTTATTGAGGTTGGGGATGACAAAGTGGAATTCAATATCTTCAAGATGGCTAAAAATCCTTCTTGTGCCGATGAGTGTTTTAGAATGGATATTATTGAAGATTGTGTACAAGAGTTTGCAAACAATCATGTCAAAGATCCTCTTGAAAAATTCATTGGTGATGCCATAGAGGAAAGTCATGAGATGGAGGGGATCAATGAAAGTGTGAAATTCCTGGATGATGATACTACTTTGACACCACATGAAGTCCCGATCATTGAAGAACTTGCTTTTGAAGTAGGGAAAAATTTGCTTAAGGAGAAGGATGCTCCAAAGGTTGAGCTCAAGGCATTACCATCAAATTTAAAGTATGCCTTCTTTGGTGAAAATTCTACTTACCCCGTAATTGTCAATGCAAGTTTGGAAGATGAGAAACTTGACAAATAGTTGCTTGTTTTGAGAAAGCATAAAAGAGTGATCGGGTATACTATTGATGATATTATTGGGATTAATGCCTCTTATTGTATGCATCGGATTTATCTTGAAGAGGGGCACAAACCTTCGGTTGAGCATCAAAGAAGGTTGAATCCTAATATGAAGGATGTGGTGACAAAGGAAATCATTAAGTTTCTTGATTCGGGAATCATCTATCCGCTCTCCGACAGTAAATGGGTGAGCCCGGTTCATGTGGTGCCTAAAAAAGGGGGCTTCACCGTTGTGCCAAATGAGAACAATAAGCTCATTCCTACACATTTGGTCACGGGGTGGCGCATGTGTGTGGATTATAGGAAACTCAACAAAGCCACGAGAAAAGATCATTTCCCCTTGCCTTTCATTGATCAATTGTTGGAGAGAATGGCTAAGCATAACTACTTTTGCTTCTTGGATGGTTTCTCGGGATACTTTCAAATCATGATTCATCCTGAAGATCAAGAAAATACTACCTTCACATGCCCTTATGGTACATTTGCTTTTAGAAGGATGTCTTTTGGGTTATTCAATGCACCGGGCACTTTTCAACGGTGCATGATGGCTATATTTTCGGATCTTGTTGAAGAAATCATGGAAGTCTTCATGGATGATTTCTCGGTTTATGGCACTACATTTGATGGTTGTTTGGCTAATTTGGATAAAGTATTGGAGAGATGCCAAGAGGCCAATCTTATTCTTAATTGGGAGAAATGCCACTTCATGGTGACCGAGGGAATTGTCTTGGGGCACAAAATCTCCGACAAGGGTATAGAGGTTGATCCGGCAAAAATTGAAGTTATTGAGAAGTTGCCACCACCCACCACTGTAAAGGGTATTAGAAGCTTTTTGGGGCATGCCGGTTTCTACCGCCGGTTTATACAAGACTTTGCAAAAATTGCTAAGCCCCTTACTCACCTTCTTGCTAAAGATGTTGAATTTTATTTCGATGATGCTTGTCTTGATTCTTTTTGTAGGATAAAAAAGGCTCTATGTGAAGCACCGATTATTCAACCACCTGATTGGAGCTTACCCTTTGAACTCATGTGTGATGCAAGTGACTATGCGGTGGGGGCAATGCTCGGGCAAAAGCAAGGCAAGGTGTTGCATGCCATTTATTATGCAAGCCACACCTTAGATGATGCTCAACTAAATTATGCAACCACCGAGAAGGAGCTCCTTGCGGTTGTCTTTGACATTGAGAAATTTCGGTCCTACTTGGTTCGAAGCAAGGTCATTGTTCATACGGACCATGCCGCATTGAAGTTCTTATTTGCTAAGAAGGAGGCCAAACCTAGGTTGATCCGGTGGATTTTGCTTTTACAAGAGTTTGATATTGAGATCCGAGATAAGAAAGGTTCCCAAAATATCATTGCGGATCACTTGTCAAGACTTGAGTCGGGACAAGACAAGAAACATCATGTTAAGGAATTGACGATCAATGATTCATTCATCGGGGAATATTTATATGCCGCTCAGAAATTTTCTCCATGGTATGCCGACAAGGTGAACTACTTGGTTAGTGGCTATGTTCCCCCGGAGTTCTCATATGATCAAAAGAAAGGGTTCATCCACAATGCAAATTCATATTTTTGGGATGAGCCTTTGTTGTTTAAAAGATGTGCTGATGGTGTTGTGAGAAGATGTATACCGGAAGATGAGTTTGAAAGTGTTCTTTATCATTGTCATTCCTCACCATATGGAGGCCATTTTGGAGCTAATAGGACCGCGGGGAAGGTGCTTTAAGCAGGATTTTATTGGCCTACTATCTTCAAGGATGCTCAAATGTTTGTGAAGAAGTGTGATAGGTGCCAACGCACGAGTTCTATGGGGCAAAGACATTAAATGCCACAATCCGGTATTCTTGAGGTTGAACTATTTGATGTTTGGGGTTTGGACTTCATGGGGCCTTTACCAAGCTCATATAGCAATACCTATATTCTCTTGGCGGTGGACTATGTGTCAAAATGGATTGAAGCAATAGCTAGCCCCACCAATGATGCTAAAGTGGTGATCAAGTTTGTCAAGAAATTTATTTTCTCAAGGTTTGGAGTTCCGAGGGCATTTATCACCGACAATGGTACTCACTTTTGTAACAAACCACTTGAAAAGGTCTTGCTCAAATATGGGATTCACCATAAGGTGTCCACACCATACTATGCTCAAACTTGTGGTCAAGTGGAACTCTCAAATAGGGAAATAAAGTCAATCTTGGAGAAAATGGTGAACCCGTCAAGGAAAGATTGGGCGGTGAAGTTAGATGATGCATTGTGGGCCTACCGAACGGCATACAAGACTCCAATTGGTACATCTCCGTTCAAGCTTGTTTACGGGAAATCATGTTATTTGCCCGTAGAGATTGAACATAAAGCTTATTGGGCCATTCAAAGTCTCAATTTTGACCAAAAGCTTGTGGGTGAGAAGCGCCTCCTTCAATTGAATGAACTTGAAGAGTTCCGGTTAGATGCATATGAGAATGCCAAGATTTACAAAGAAAGAACAAAAAAATGGCATGATCGGAAAATTCTAAGAAGGGAGTTTGCATCGGGAGATGATGTCCTTCTTTTCAATTCACGCCTCAAACTCTTCCCGGGCAAATTAAAGTCAAGATGGTCTGGACCATTCAAGGTTGTGGAAGCTTATCCATCGGGAGCGGTGATTCTTACATCAAATGATGGAAAACAATTTACGGTTAATGGACAAAGGTTAAAGAGGTACTTTGAAGGTGATGTAATAGAGGCTAGTGCAAATTTGAGCCTCGATGAGCCATCGGTGACTTGACCACTTGAGGTATCGTCGGGCATACGACGTTAAAAATAGCGCTACTTGGGAGGCACCCCAAGCTTGCATATCATTTTTTTTATGGCATATAACGTTTAGTTTTCCTTGTGTTTTATTTTTGTTTTTACATTTTAAGTGTTTGATTAGTTTTTATACTTAGCGTTATTTTAGTTTTTTTTTTTTTTTTTTTTAAAAAAGGGGTTCTGTTTTGCAGAATGGGTGCAAAATTTGCAGCCACTCTTAGCAGGGCATACTGCCTAGTGGCCACAGTTGTGGCCATGGCCGTGGCCACGAGGCAGTATGCACTGCCCTGTGGCCACAGCTGTGGCCACGCCCCCTGTTCCCCCTTCACAAACCAGCTTCGGCTGGTCTGTTGTTTAAAAAAAAATTAATTTTTTTTTATTTATTCTCTTTTCTTCCCCAATCTCCCAACCCTCTTATTTCCCCTCTTCTCCCAAAACCTAATTTCTTCCCCTCATCTCCCAACTTCTACTCTTTCTTCTTCTTCCTTTGCTTGAAATTTATGTGGGTGTTCAAATTTCTTCATTTTTCCTCCATCTTTGGGCAAGATTAAGTCTTGGGTGTGGTTGCTTGTTGCTATTTGCTTCTTTTGTCAACATATTTTGAATTTCTATTCTCCACCAAGCTTAGGTACGAATTTTTTTTTTTTTTTTTTTTAAGCTTTAATCCTTAAATAGCTTAGGTCTTGATGATCATTTGTATATATTTATGCTCCATTGTGCTTAAATTGTTGAATGTTGAATTTTTTTGGACTCTAATGTTTATATTTTTGGAACCCTCTTGCAAAATCCGAATTTTCTTTTTTATTTTGGATATTTTTGTGATTTTTCATGCTCTTTAGCTTTTGGAAATAGTGTGTTTAGCTCTTTGGTGCTTAATTCTTTAATTGTTGAAGCTTAGATTTTGTCTCTTGATGCACACTTCGGCTTTGCTTGCATTTTTGGCTAACATGATGATGAATGGTTTTTGATTCACGTATATTTTGATGAATGGATTTTGGAGATTTTATTTTTCTTTGAATATTGAATACTTGTGCATAATGAATTCTCTCTTGTTCAAAGTTCCAATTTTTGTTTATGCTTAAATGCTTAACTTCTTTTGAAATTGATCGCATTTGGAATTTGGTGGTATTACTTTTCTTTATATGATGTCTTGGTAGAAACCAAAAAAAAAATGCCACCAAAGAAGAAGTCTGCTCCCCCTAACAAAAAGAAAAGACCAAGAATTGACACGGGGGAGTCTAGTAAAGTACAAGAGGGGAGCACATATATTAAAGCCCGAGATGAGGAATCCCCACATTTTGACAATAAGGAGTTGGAAGAAAAGTATGAAAACTGGAAGAAGAAAGGTTTTGGAGAAGTAAGACATTTGCATCCACCCGTGCTTGTTCAGTTTGGCATTAAGGACATCAAATTCACGGTATTTGGGAAGGAATTCCAACTTAGTGCAGATGACTTGGCTATCCACTTGGGTTTTTACACGAGAGAGGAGTTCGACGAGCATAACTCCATGAAATCGTTGACCGATGTCCCCGATCCTCCAGTCCGGTAAGCATTTTGGGACCAAATTTCTCTTCAAGGCTATGATTATGATCCGGGTATTAGCAAGCAAAGTGAACTTCCACCAGAGTTGAGTATCATCCACAATATTTTTGCCCACTCATTTACAGGCCGAAAGTCTTCTCCCAGGGTAGTGAGCAAAATTGATCTTTTATGTCTCTACAGCATTGTCAACAAGGTTCCAATCCATTTGGGTGTTGTTATGGCTAGCATGTTCCACAAGCACAAAAACAAGGATCTAGCAACACCGTACATTGGACCTTTTGTTACAAAGCTACTAAAGAGCTTGGGTTTTGAGAAACAATTGGAGGAATTGCAGCCCATTGCACATATGATCCCTCAATCGGAGCGCTGCCTCTTGAATTTAAAAATCTCACGCCCAGTACCTGACCGTGTGCATGAGCAAGAAGTCCCAGCTTCCCCCCCCCCCCCCCCCCCCCCCCCCCCCCCCGAAGCCGACCCATTCATGTGGCGGACTCCTATGAGTAAATGCAAGCATTTCAGCAACAGTTGTTTGATGGCCTTAGAGCGGACATGAATTCTAGATTTGATGGCTTCCAATCCACAGTGCTCCAGGAACTCCAGTCCTTACGCGCTTCCGTGGGAAATCTTGAAACTCAAGTCACAGAAATGTGGACCCAGTGGCAGGACTTCAGAGCACATCACTACCCCACTCAAGGGCCTCCGGAGCACCGACTCCCTTCTCTTTTATTTTAAATTTGCTTTACTGCACTTTTATTTTATTTTATGCTTTCTTTAGTTGGATTTACTTAGCACATTTTGAGCCCACATAGGTTGCATGAACCCCCTCCTACTCCCCATGAATCATTTCAGGGAACTAGCACTTCTTCTTCCTCGCTTTTGGATTATTTTTGTGAATTGTTCATGCTAGAAGGATGGATTTTGTTTCTTTTGTTTCTTGGTGTTACGTTCCTTGTCCTTTTGATTATTGTTTCTAACTTCTCTAACACCGGGGATGATGTTTTTGTCTAAGTGTGGGGGGTTCACTTTGGGCTTTATTTTTTTGCTTATTCTTGCTCTTGAGCATTGGAAGATAATTGTTCTTTTTAGCATTTAGTTTTCTTTAGGTTATTCTCTTCGCATTTAGTTTCCTCTATTAGTAGTTGTTGAAATCTCCCTTTTTGCTAAAATCATTTAGGATTTCACCTTGTATCTTCTTGTAGTTGTGATTACTCCCCTTTGTTGGTTTGTGGTTTGTCTTGGTGGAACTTGTTACAACTCAACTTGTGATTGATGAGTCAAAGTGTAACGCATGATTGATCTATTCTCTTGCCAATGACCTTGTTAACCCCTTAATAATTGAATAAATTCTTAATCTTGTGTGTTGAGCATTGCTAGTGAAGGCTTATGTGAGATTTCGGTAATGGTTGTTTTGCTAGAACTTGCATCATTACTCCCTAAGTGAAATCTAAGATTTGCATGTTTTGAAATGATTTAGGCCATTTTTGTTTAGCCCAAGCCTTTAAACTTACCCTTGTACATATTTGTTTACCACTAGTTGTCCCCGTTGAGCCTTTTGTGTTTGTTTAATAAGTGCTAAGCATTTAATCTCTTTTGTGTTTGTTTTTTTTGTTCTTGTATTAACCCTTGTCATTTAACCCTTAAACCTTAGCCAAAAAAATGTTTCCCCCCACCCTTGAGAGAATAGAACACTTGTTCTTTTTCATGGAAGTGATTCTTTTTCTTTTAGGAGCTTGTTTTGTTAGCAACTCTCTCTATAATTTTGTCTAAGTGTAGAGGTCTTGATTCATTAAAAAAAAAAAGTTGGTTTGTTGTTCTACTATTTTAAAAAATGATGAGAAAATTATAAAAATAAAAACAATAAAAAAAAAAAAGTCATGAAAATGTTGAAAAGAAATGAAGATGTGAAAAAGAAGAAGTTGAATAAAAGTTGGTTAGTTTGCTTTGAAATTTGTTCTCAACCTCCACTACTTTAGAGTGTTGCTTTGTGTTTAGTTGTTAGTTGCTCCTTAGTTCTTTGGTGTCATATCTCTTCCAATCTCAATTGTGAATAAGTGTGAAGTTCTCTCTTTTGTTCGATTTCCTTACCCCTTCTTTGTCAACCATTCACCCTTAGCCCCATTACAAGCCTAATAAAAGTCCTACTTGATCTTAGTATGCAATCTTAGAGTTGAACTAGTGGGAGTATGAAGGGCAAGCTTATGGAAACTCATTCAACGCCTAGTTTTGCATAATCTCAACTTAGTTTTTGTGCACACTTGATCCTCACGTTCTATAATAATTTTGGTGCTTGGTTATTGGCTTGAGAATGGAACTTGTGTAGAATGCTAAGATGATTCTTGAAACAAGTTGTGTTGTGTCGAGTTGGATTGTGGTTTGTTAAGTTGTGCAAAGTGGGAGTATGATCAACTTCAGTGCTATTTTGGTGATTTAGTTCTTGTTTTTGCTCGAGGACAAGCAAAAGTCTAAGTATGGAGGAGTTGATGAATGTCTAAAACTAATGCTTTTTCCTTGTGAATTTTAGTGTTTTTGCTTGTTATTCATTATATTATAGAGTCATTTTGGTCACTTATGAATTTATTGCGTGTGTTAGGTAATTTGACAAAGAAATGATGTTTTGAAGCATTCTATGAAGTATTTGATCAAGTTTTTGGTGTCACCTTAGCACGAAGATACATTTGGTTAACCAAAGTGATGATGTTTAGAGTTTAACACGTTTTTGGGATGGATCATGGCGTGACCTGAGGCTGAGGAGAGCACCAAAGTGATCACCGACACAATCGAAGGCGTACCCGGCTAGCCGCGACGTGCCCGCACCCATAGTTACTAGGTAAAATTCACTGCCTGGTGGCCACAAGTGTGGCCACGGGCGTGGCCAGCTCCCTGTTTTTTCTAGCAGCGCGATTTGGCTCTTTTTAAAGGGAACTTTTCCACTCTTTAAGACACTTTTTCATTTCTCTTTCACTCGATAGCTAGGGTTAACTTTAGA